GACTATAAAAAGTTAGGCCTGTAAGTCTAATGATGTGCATTCTACTCAAAGCAAACCAAAAAACAGTTCATCTACAACATGAAGTAATATTCTCTTTTTAGAGATGATTCACATCATTCTGTAGACAGATAACAAGCATTTACTTATTGAAAAAGTCTGGGATCAGTTCCGAATTCCTTTATATACAAAAGCACGATCTACACAACAGTGGTGGAAGTAGTACTGACGATAGAACTAACCACTCTTAGATACAGCAACCTTTTCATGCTGCAGAACAGCACCCCATCTTACAGGGAACAAATCCTCTTTATACAATGCTAATCTGGTCAGCACACTCAGTAGACTTCAGTCACACTAAGGATATCAGATCTCTGGGGAAACACATTAGATCCTTACTATACATTACAGATACCCTGGAAAGACAACATATCGAATTATTAAACTACATACATGCAACATTTGTAGATATTCATGGTGACTATTTTACTGGAGTAGTTGAAGATACCTCAGGACCTTATCAACATAATTTTAAACATGCAACATTAGTAAATGTTCATGGTGACTATTTTACTGGAGTAGTTGAAGATACCCCAGGACCTTATCAACATAACTTTTAAACATGCAACAGTAGTATCCGATAACGCTTTTGTTATTGAGAACAAGTTGCTTTATAATTTAGATAATTCTCTTGTTATTGAGGGTTCCAGTGCTTTGTATTGTGAGTGGTCCAATTTTTGCTTGGGGTTCTAATGCTTCATTATTTGAATAGTTCATAGTTCATGTCTTTCTAAGGGTTTCATTGTGTGGATTAGTTTAATTGATATGGCTAATTTGGAATTTTTCTTTGAAATATTTCCATTAAGCTTATATTTTCTATATGTGTACAAATAGTTGTTGATGTCATGTTATCCCTGGCTTTTTGCTTCAGAACAAATATTTGAATATCATTGACACGTGTAATGGTGATATGAAGCTGGCTAGTAATAAATTTGCTGAGATGGATGTTATTTTCTACAGGTCTTTACTCTTCCGAATCTAAAGCCGTATAGAAAGTTCAAGGTGACCGCTCATGAAGGATCGCACGTGAGAAAAGTTGCAATTTCCAAGTTTACTTCGGAGAGTGGTAAGTTGCATTGAATAAATCCTAATGCTTGCTTAACAGTCTTTATAATAAAATTCTTAATATATTACTGAGAACTGTGGATTTTTAGGCTTACTTATCAAATTCAACAAACTTAAAATAACGTATGGTAAGTACTGAGTATAAGGAAAACTACGGGCATGCAAAGTAATTTACGTTTACAGTAAAATACTGTTTATTAAAACAACTGATACATTTGAAACAATAATTTTGAGTAATATTTTCACTAGTTTATAACCTGTGGCTAATCCTGTTATAACTTCTTTAGCTAGGGTAAGCAACTCTACTTGTTATCACCAAACATGCTTGCCCTTTCAGCTGTGGGGCTGTTATAATGTGAAAGTCAATCCCACTATTAGTTGGGAAAAGAGTATCCCAAGAGTTTGAGTTGGGTGATGTTGACCAGCTGCCTTCCCTCTAGTCCTTGAATAGCTTTGTATAAATTTCAACAAAACAAAACTTTTTTTCCTTCTTCTGGTTTGATCCAAAAAAAACAAACAAATAAAATAGAAGTAAAGTATATTGAATTTTGATTCATTTATAAAAACAAGTTCAGTCAAGGGGAAAAGGTTCATGTAGGATTAACCTTATGCACGAATGATTTGTTTAAAAGTTTACTTCAAATAATTCTCCTTTCCCTGTTCTGGATTATTTGAAAATCGGTGATTTTGATTTTGGCAAGTTCTGATTGAAGTCGTTAGTGTTTCTGAATTTTCTTTTTCTGAACATCGTATGGCACTTGTAGCCCCTTAGGAGGAAATTCGTCATAGTTTTTTAACAAAATGGTACTAATTTGTAACTTGAAGACAAGTGTAGTTTTGACATGGTATCATGTAATTGTTTATATCTAAACACTATTTTCTGTTCTTTTCAAACAAATTGTACAAAAAGGGCATCACAGTGACACTCTCTGGTGTCTCGTAGTTAAGAATAAAACAAACTGTATCACAGGTGCATAAAGTTGACACTTCCTGGGTGTCTGAGAGTTAAATATACATTTCAAGTGCTGAAAAAGTAGAGATTTCAGCTGAAACAAGTTATTGTTTTCCATATTGTATCTACCATGTAGTATATAGGGAAGAGGACTTGTTTCTAATAAACTAGTAACTACAGTTAATTCCTTCTAGATTCATCCTACTTGGAATACTGCATGATCTGCTTGACAAATCAAGGTGATCTAGGTGTTTACTCCATACCTGACCTTCGTCGACAGCTAGTTCACTCGTGTACCAAGAAGGAAGACATTACGTAAGTTTAAGCTTGTCATAATAGCCTAAAGAAACCTGGTTTAGTGTAATTAATAGGTTTGACATGCATGCATTAGGTTGGTTCTTCATTCTTACTTATCTGATTATTTATTAACAATATTAGACAAACGAAGATGAATATTTTCTTTTAGTTGTACACTTTTAAATTAATCTATGTGTGCTTGTCCCTCTAGTGGCATATCGAGCTTGATGTGTACCAAGAATGGTCAGGGTTTCTTTCTCCACTCTCCGTGCGAGTTTTTTCGGTTTACCTTGTCGACCAAAAGTGTCACCAAAGCACGATGTCTACTTGAACTGCCAGAAGGTGCAAGACCTGCTACTGAAACTCCATCTTCTCCAGAGGAGACCAGCCATCTCTCAGAAGATGTTAAACATGAAACAACTCCACAGGAAGTTGATACATCAGAATTCAGCCCAATTATTGAAGAAAATGTTGAAAAGTAAGCAATTTTTATTGGTAATAATCTTTAAAACCATCATTAATTAAAAAAAAAAAAAACTTGTATCTTTGAGACTGTAGATTTCTTTTATACAGATAGCTCATTTCTTGTAATGTTAGTTTTATGATAATATAGTATATAGTCCTTCCAGGATAAGCTTGATGTTTTGTTTCAGTGTTTTCAGAATACTTTGAACAATTGTCTGTCTGATCGTGTTTGTATAGTTATTCTAAGACTTGAGCTTGAGAATCGTGCTCTCCCTTTTAATATTGTTTGGATCAGTGTGTACTTTGCTGCACAAAACAGATAAATGGTAATTTAACTTTCTAGTAATTTAGGGATAGCAAGTCAAAACCACTCTATCACTTCATTCACTCCTTCATTAACTTTTATACAAATTGGTCATCTGATGATTTGTGATGTGATTATTGGTCATTTACCATACACTAGTAAATAAACATTTGATAAAGGTGTTTTTTATTTTCATGGCTCCTAACTTTTCAACATAGAGTGCAGTCATCACAAACACTGTGGGCAACATGGCATTAGTGTTGCATGTTTAAAATTATGTTGATAAGATCCTGAGGTATCTTCAACTACTCCAGTAAAATAGTCACCATGAACATTTAGGGCAACATGGCATTAGAGGAGCAAGGGGGGGGGGGGGTTATCCTCATTAACAAGAGGGTTATATAAACTATTAATCTAATAATACTAGAAAATGAAATATTAATTTTGTAAAATCACATTTTCTAAATTTTTGGCAGTTAAAGAAATACAGCTAAAACATAGGGCACCAGTTATGTATATTCACGTCATTGATCATAATGGATATCCTTTGCCGGACCCTCTGGAGGTTGAGAAAGAAGTAGCCAAACCACCAGATTTCACTGGCACACACAGAGTCTTGATATGTTCAGAAGAACAGTTTAAGGTGATAAAAGATCTTTCTATGAATTTTTTTAAACTAAGAACTTTAGCTTCAAGTTATGATGATTTTAGAAAATGTTTCAGTTTCTTTAAAGAATATAGTTCGAACTAGACGACCCGTGACCCGTTGGGTCACCCACTATTCGGAGGTTATGAAGAATTCAAGCTAATTTCAATCTTGCACCGAAATGGTTTATTTTGAGATAATTTAATTAAATATTTCAATCCATTCATGTTATTCATAATTCAAGAAAGGATAGTTGATTGTTGATCAGGAGTAAAAGTAAAAAAACATTTCATTTTTCAAAAAAGTGAAGTTAGAGTTTTCAGGTATTGTGATGAATTAGTTCATTATGTTGTGGTTTTTCCTCTTAAACCTTCTACAAATAATAAACGGTAACACTTTATATTTTCTTCGAATTACCTACCATAATCAAGGCACATTATTGAGAAATTCTAAAAGATCTTGTTTTTGTCATCTTACGCCTTTTAATGAAGATGGGAACATTGACAGGGAAATAATATAATAGCCAGTGCTTGGTGAGGGGTTTTTGTTTATAAAATTTTGTTGTTCTCGACTTGATTTTTATTTTATGACCTCGTCTCCATAGTGACTGTTTGCAAATAGTCAATAATATTCTAGGTCCATTTTATTGCTGTTCTTGTTACGTGCCGTTATAACACATTTTCATCTCATCATTTAATTTCTGTTGTGCATATATTGTTGTATAGAAGATATTTTAATGTGATTCATCAGATGGAAAATGAGTAGATAGATGGATAAACCGATATGTGGCGCCATCTAGTGTTTTAAAACTTGTTTTATTCTGTTTCTAACCCTCTTGTTGCTCGTCCAGGATTCAGAATTTATAATTAAACACTTTATATTTTGAAAACTACAATAAAATCATGGAACTAAAATCAAGAAATATATACTTCCTTTAACTCTTTTGATATGAAGTTGGTCAAGTCGACCGACCTTTTGACCATTCATTGATTCTAAGTAGCTCTAAGTTTACATACTATAACTTTTAATAAGTGAATCATTTGGCAGACTTTTAGTACAGACAGGTGTTTTTGGTACAAAAATCAGATTTTTTAATGAAATTATTTTACTAAAGAATTATCTGGGAACATATACTTTTTTTTTTCTACTATTCCAAATGCAAAGTGATTTCCATGTTAAAATTTAAAATACTTTTCTTCATTTCAAAAGTCAAATTTGATTTACTCTACAACCTATAAAGCCAAAACAAATCTAGATTAACCTTTTTTTTTCCTTTCTAGAATGACTTCAAATTGTAACATGAAACTACATTCATTGATCCTATGTTGCTCTAAGTTCATAACTGTTTACATCTATTTACAGTTAAATTTTATTGTTTTATTGCCCTTTAAACCATGTCTAACTACTATCCACACCATTATAAGTTATAAATTATGCAGCTCACGTTACACTATCAAATTACAAGCATGACTCGTGAACCATTTTAATTATATTATCTAATCTAGTCTTAAATAACTTAAAAACATTTGTATTTTTAGATTTTAG